CATAAAAACATAGCTGATAATCCATCTTTTAATAGTATACAAGTTTTAAGTACTTATTTTTATTAGGCAATATTTGTTTTAAAATCTGGAATTTCTCCCAGTGTGAAAATTGTAACATTTGCTCTCTAGGCATCCTCTCTTAATTTATTTACCACTCCCCCAAAAATGTATGCAATTTAATGTAAATTACTTATTATAATATTGTCATTGCTCAGGCAACGTATAATTTTTATAGCATTCAATATTGTTTGGTTACAGAGTCATGCCCCACAGTGGTATGTCTGCGGACTTACAACGCTAGAATCCGGGTTTCGATACCCGTGGTGGGCAAAGCACAGATAGCATATTGTGTAGCTTTGTGCTTAATTACAAACAAACAAACATACAGAGTCATGATATAAAGAAACAGCTCCTTCTGCCACATCCTGTCTTTCAGAAACTGTCAATATCTCTATCTAATGGTCAATACTATATCATTTATACCCATTAGAAAGGCCAAGGTTTTCATCTATTAAATGACAGAGAATTGTCAACTTCCCTTTCAGTACAAGCTTTATTCCCATGAGAAACACATAGACGAGCTTAGCTGAATTCCTAACAGTTCTTATTGTATAGTTAGAAAGCTTTTCACATATTATTATTCTGTGTTTTTTGGTGCATTATTTAATAAAATAAAAAAATATTTAGTTCACTACCATTAGTATTAAAAGTAGGGTTAAGTGTCAGACGAGAGTAAAAAAAAAAGAAGACCCAAGTAAGTACCTTATTTCTCGTTCTTCATGTGTATTCTTTATTTATTATTATATAAGTAACTAAAATATAAAAATTGAAAATTTTTGTGTTAGTTAAGGTTAGATTAGGTGAAATAAATAATAATGTAATAAATTTTTTCACAAGATAATCTAGCGAGTCGCTCCTGCGTAATGTAAATCGATAGCATATCATGCGCTGCACATTGGCCAAGTCATTTCCAACTTATAACGGTGCAAATATTAGTTATATATGATTTAACGGACAGTATAATTCAAGTATAAACACATGTATATGTTATGAGTTTAAAGCTTTTTAAAATAAACAAATGTAGTTTCCTGTTACAACTTGAAGTCATTCTAGAAAGAAAAAAAGGGTAATTTAGATTTATTTCAATTTATTGTTGTTTTTTTTTGGTGGTTACGAGGTCAGTCAAACTCTGACCAACCTTGTATAAAGTTAGGGTTGAGAAAATAACAAATAAAATGTAAAGTTTTACCGAAAAAACGTCTGAAATTTAGTTAGGAGGTCTTAAGAGATTATGCAAGTAAAATTTGAGATGAAGAAAAGTATATTAAATTTTTACATGAAAATCACTTAGCACCCAGACTAGTATATATAATACTTTCTACATTCATGGAGAAATCTTTGGTAAAAATACTTCATTAAAAAATCTGTTGTTTTTAATACAAGAGGCTTGTAATGTTTACTAAAAGTTTGCCAAATTTTGTGAAGATATATATACTTTATTAGAAGTTATATGAAAACTATAACAAGCACAAAATGGTTACAGTTGATTACTTTTCTTTCCTCAGACATTATTTATTACTGACATTGTTAAACTAGATAAGAGATAGCATTAACTACTTACAAGGAGTTCATTCGACAGATGTTTTCAATAGTTTGAAGCGCAGCCATTCTGGGGTTCTGCAGATAGTCTGGATGAGGTGGAGAACTGTTTCTGTTTCTAACAACAGATAATAAGTATAATTGCAATTTCTAAATAAGTTCCAAATTCTCACTTCTGCATGTGAGTTTTTTCTGTTTGATTGGTGCTTTCATGGACTTTGATCAAACCAAAGCTATAATTACTTGTGCTCGGTTGGCAACGGACTACTCCTTGTCAATCATTCATTGATATATGCATAGTTGCCTGAACCAATTGACTCAGGATGTATGAATACAACCCCTTAACTTTGGTCTTTTCACATATATTCATCCACTTGTTGCTTGTTTCCAAAGTTCCATTATTCGTTTTTCATAAGGCTACTTCCTCTAGCTGTGGTGTCTAATATCATAAACATTTGTTGCTTTCGCTAATGAAATCGCATCTGATGAGCAGAACTGCTAGTTTCCACTTCTCATGTTACACTCTGGAATGTATTTTCAGCTAACTCGTGTAATGTATTTTGAGTTTGTCCTATCCTTATTTAGTAATTATGCTCGCTTGGTGGCATGAAGCATTTTTTAACAGCTTATTTTAGTTAATGGTTTTCCTTTACTATATTTTTTTCAATCGTTCTAAAAGTTTCAAAACTTCCAACATTTGTAATTTTAGTGAATCCATCATTTAAATATAATATTTTAAGTACAGGATAAGAAGTTTCTTTAAAGATTTATATCTTTTTATCTCATTCTTCTTCTCAAGCGGATGAGTGGATTTGAAGACAATGAACCCCTCAAGCCTTCTAACATTAAACCTAACCTTGCTAAGCTGAGAATTGTAAAAGAAGCAGAGATTAGAAAGGGAGGAATTCTGGGGTATGGAGCTTTTGGCACTGTGTACAAGGTACGATAGAAACTATTATATAAATAAAGATTTATATCAAATTAAAAAATTCTTTATTAGTGGCTGTTAATGAATGTTGCATTGTTATATTGTTAATAAACAAGTTCATCATAAACAGGGTGTTTGGGTTCCGGAAGGAGAGAATGTCAAGATACCAGTGGCTATCAAAGTCCTCAGAGAAGGCACAGGGCCATCCACAAACAAGGAGTTTCTTGAGGTAAAAATCCATTTGATGCGGGTTTCATTTAGCAAAGTTCATAAGTTGATTTACCTTTTTTTTAGGTCACACATGTTTCTTTCTCCACATTCAACCAAATAACAAATTTCCTGATTTTAGTTACTTTGTGAAGCACTGGAAATCTGTTATTTTCATTTGATCTGAGCTCCCCAGTGGCTCAGCAGTAAGTCTCAAGTCAGGTTTCAATACTTATGGTGGGTGCAACGCAAAGAGCATATTGTGTAGCCTTGTGCTTAAGAACAAATTTGTAATAATGTATTTTACTTCTAAGGTTTTGAATGATTTATTAACTTTACAGTTTGTTCCAGTACAGTTTCACTTGATATGTTATTTCAAATTTTTCCCTCCAGGAGGCTTATATAATGGCTAGTGTTGACCACCCTAACCTCCTGAAGCTACTGGCTGTCTGCATGACATCACAGTTGATGCTCGTAACACAGCTAATGCCACTGGGTTGTCTTCTAGATTACGTCAGGAACAACAAGGATAAGATTGGCTCTAAGCCTCTGTTAAACTGGTGTACGCAGATTGCTCGAGTAAGAAGATTTGATGAATATATTAAAATATTTGACAGATAAATTTGTGAATATCATAAAAAGTAAAAGTAAAAATGAGCATAATATCATTTTAATGAACTTATATCTATTTGCTGTTTTCTTTATCAATGGGAATACCCCACTTAAAAGTAAAATTAAGTTGTTAAACTTTTAACTGTGAAAAATAATAAATCAACAACATATTTGAGAATGACTTGGTTGTTAGCATTTAAAGTTGTATTCAATTTTCACCTATAATGGTCAATATTGTCTTGTGCGTGTTGATAAATTCCTAGAGTGACTACCTGTTAATGTTGCCCAATTGTTTTAATGTTTTATATGGTTGTGTTTTGTAGGCTTTTTTTATTCAATTATGATAATGGTCTATTAGTAGAATTTTTTTAACGGAATTGCCTGTTGAAGTATTAAGTAATTTATAGCATTTAGTTAAAGTTAAAACCAATATCTATTTTTTTTTTATATAAGAAGCACAATTTGAGTATTTTATCTGTTATTTGAAATTTTTTTACTTAGGCTATGGCATACCTTGAGGAGAAAAGAATGGTGCACCGTGACCTAGCACTTAGGAATGTCTTGTGTATGTATTTTATGTATGATAATGTCATATATTATGTGTAATACATAAAGTATGTGGTTATTAACTGTGTATTTGAAAATTGGTCATTACCTTTCTAAACACTACTTTTTACCATACGCATATAACTCGAGTAAAAACAAAATAATCTTCATTCTTTGATATAGGCAGAATCTTCATGATGAAACTTTGTAGGATGGACGACAACTGCCTGTTGTAGAGACACAAGTGTAGAGGACAAGGTATCGAAAGTCTTCCGCCTTTTGTTGTCGGGACCCAAAGACGAAAGGCAGAAGACTTTCGACACGTCATCCTTTACACTTGTGTTTTTCTACAACAAGCAGTTGGCACCCATTCTACAAAGTTTCATCAATGTTCATCCTTTCATAGATTATTTATTCAGAGTGTTCATGATGAGTACAATGGAATGGGTGGCAAGTGTCTGTTGTAGAAAAACGCTAGTGTAGAGGATGGTGTTTCGAAAGTCTGACCTGAAGACGAAAGACTTTCGATATGTCGTCCTCTACACTTGTGTTTTTCTACAACAGACACTTGCCACCCATTCCATTGTACTCAACCTTCATCCTCTCTGCATGACAACCACACATATATCATACGAGTAAAATATTTTGCCAAACATGCATCAAATTACATATATTTACTGAAAGCTGTTAGACTATGAAATGATACATTTTATTGAAATATTTAAAACATTTTGAATTCACCTCATGATTACATAAACACATGGCCAGCCAAACCTTACAAGAAGATGAAACAAAAAATGTATTTTTTTAATTAATCTAAATTTATGTTTTGGCATAAATATTGCTCATAAACGTTATTACGAAAATACTGTGTTAGTATTCATATTGATGTGTTATTGTTTTAAAATTATGTTTTATTTCACCAGTGCAAACACCGGGTTGTGTTAAGATAACCGACTTTGGGCTGGCAAAACTGCTGGATATCAATGAAGAGGAATATAAAGCTGCCGGAGGAAAAGTAAGTAATTTGGTTTAGTAATCGATTGTTAATGTTGAATTATAGTCGGTTTTAATGAACTCAAACAAAATTCATGTGTTAACTTTAAACACCTTTTAGATTTTATTTTTGCTGTTATTTCTAGATTTAATGACAAAACTTCCTCATATTTGTGTTGATAGTAGTCGTCGTATTTTGATGGTTATATTACTTTGATCTTTTCAGATGCCAATAAAGTGGCTTGCTTTAGAATGCATTCAACATCGAATATTTACTCACAAAAGTGATGTTTGGGCATTTGGTGAGTATTGTTAGTTAAACTTTTAAACGTGATGGAACGTTTAACTTGAAACCTTCTCTACTGAGGATCACTCAATTTTATAAGGTTGATGTTTTAGGTCTAGGGCTATTTTAGGGACTTTTTCCATCATCAGTTTTATTTCTTTAATTTCACTCTCTGATATTGTAATATTACCTGACACCAACGTATCCATTGTAACAAGATTCTGTGAAGGGCAATACATCTTTACAAGATTTTCTAACAGTGTGTATATGTTGGCTTCCTAGACCTTGTTCAAACAGATCAAAGGCTTGTTACAGCTCCATCAAGAGATTTAACATGCATGTTTTTAAATGGAACTGCTGTGACTATAATTTATTTTTTGGTAGCCTTTCTCATAAAAGTAGCCATTGATATTTGAGTGTAGCTAGGGGGTTGTGAACTTTTAACTCAAGGCTAGGAGACTGTGAACTTTTAACTCAAGGCTAGGAGACTGTGAACTTTTAACTCATAGCTAGGAGACTGTGAACTTTTAACTCATAGCTAGGAGACTGTGAACTTTTAACTCATAGCTAGGAGACTGTGAACTTCTAACTCATAGCTAGGATACACAAATTAGTTCTGAACACAATATATATGTTTCACATGCAGTAATGGTCCACTGTATTAACATATGTAAGTCACACACATAAGGTGTAATCAACCATTTATATCAGAAATTAAGTTTCTTATTTAGAGAGTTGGTGATTTCTCCAAGTTGTGTAATTTAAATCCTTAAGTGCTAGTATGGGGTCCATATGGACTCCAGACATATAATGGCTAACCCTTAAGTGCTAGTATGGGGTCCATATGGATTCCAGACATATAATGGCTAACCATAAAGTGCTAGTATGTGGTCCATATGGACTCCAGACCTATAATGGCTAACCCTTAAGCACTAGTATGGGGTCCATATGGACTCCAGACATATAATGGCTAACCCTTAAGCACTAGTATGTGGTCCATATGGACTCCAGACCTATAATGGCTAACCATAAAGTGCTAGTATGTGGTCCATATGGACTCCAGACCTATAATGGCTAACCCTTAAGCACTAGTATGGGGTCCATATGGACTCCAGACATATAATGGCTAACCCTTAAGTGCTAGTATGTGGTCCATATGGACTCCAGACATATAATGGCTAACCCTTAAGTGCTAGTATGGGGTCCATATGGACTCCAGACATATAATGGCTAACCCTTAAGTGCCTAGTATGGGGTCCATATGGATTCCAGACCTATAATGACTTACCCTAAAGTGCTGGTATGGGGTCCATATGGATTCCAGACATATAATGGCCAACCGTTAAGCACTAGTGTGTGGTTCACATGGACTCCAGCCAAATAATAATGACTCCCAACCTATTAACTTTGTACATTTTTTTTCCCCTATGTGAACTTTATTGGATGGAAAGGGATGCTGATTAAAACATTCCTTACAGATTATTTAACTACATCATCATCTTTACTTGCAATGAACTAACTTGGGGAGTGTTACTGGATGGAAAAATTAATTAAGTACTTTAGGACCAATGAAGTGTATCACAAGTAACAAAAACTTGGTTTGTACACAGGTGTAACTCTGTGGGAACTACTGACGTACGGCGGCCGACCCTACGAGAACATTCCTGCTAGAGAGGTTCCTGACCTACTTGAGAAGGGAGAGCGTTTGCCACAACCGACCATCTGTACCATTGATGTGTACATGATAATGATAAAGTGTCAGTGTCAAAGTTTGGTTTATGAAAATGTTTCTTTTTATAATCACAGAATTGGGCATAAACTTGAAACCGATAAAAAATAATATATTATTATATGTTGTATCTTATTTTAGAACTGAGTTAGGAAGTAAACAAGTGGGAAAAAAATATATCAGGTTTATTGAAGAAACTGTATTTTTAAAGTTGGCTTCAGAATTTTGACAGTAATACATCATAAATCAAATGCTCACTGTGTTTTCCTGTACTTAAATATCTAGCTTAAACTTAAAGCATGTGTTCTTCTCAGGAATTTATTGTTTATTTTTATAGTTTCATTGTTTACACAATGACTAAAGATATTTAAGATGTTAAAATGTGACACAATTTGTTCTTCACTTACTGAATGAATGAGAAATTACAGGACCTGAAATTTAAAGTTAGAAGCATAAAAACAGTTTTCATTTTTTTTAATCATTCAAAATAATATTATTTAAGCACCTGGAAATGATTTCTGTTTATTTTTTTTTCTACTAGGTTTTGCTTTTTTTACATGGTGGTGTTTTTTTGAGGATATGTCAGACCTTCCCGTGTCTTAAGATATTACTTACTAGGAATATACCATTACTCAGGGTTTATTGTGTCACATGATGTTACTTAATGATGGGTTTCATTAGCCAGGTCTTATTGTGTCACACAATGTTAGTTAATGAGGGTTTTCCTTAGTCAGGTTTTATTGCATCACATGATGTCAGTTGTAAGACTAACCATAAGTCAGGTGCGTACAACCTGTACTAATTTAAAGTTTTCATTATTTTTATAGGCTGGATGTTAGATGCCGAATCTCGTCCCTCCTTCAAAGAGTTATCTGATGAATTTGCTAAAATGGCCAGAGACCCAGGCCGGTACTTGTTCGTCTCGGGAGACAAACTGATGCGACTTCCAAGCTATACACCTCAAGATGAAAAAGAACTGATCCGTACATTGAGCATGCCCATAGAGGGTCCAGAAGTTATCATGGATGCTGAGGAGTATCTACAACCCAAACTACAACAGAACAACTCCGATACTCCTCCCCCACTCACTCCTGTCAAGGTACAACAAAAAATGTGGGCCTTTATATATAAAATTTCATTTTCTGACTATCTTACTGGTCACAATTTTTTTTCTTTGTGAGGAGGGAGGCTCTTTTACAGTAGTATACATTGAGTGTGTGTGTCAGCTTCTGACTAGCTTACTGGTCACAATTTTTTCTTTGTGAGGAGGTAGGCTCTTTTACAGTAGTATACATTGAGTTTGTGTGTCAGCTAGGACTAATTTAAATGCTGGTTCCTAATGTCAGCAGCTTAAGAAATAAGATCAGTACTGTCAAAACTATCTTGGAAGAGTACTAAAAATTATTTCTTTTTCATCACCAGAAATTTATGGAAGATAGAGGCTACGACAGTGACCCAGTGCCCAACCCAAACAATCAGTCATCACAGACAAGAAACAACAGACCAGACTGCAAGTACGCTCACCTCGAAGCAGCTATTACGAATTCCCCTAACAATCGTGTGAGAGAAAACAGTGTTAACTCTGGTCGATACTGTTCAGATCCTCTTACAATATATGGAAAAGGTAAATTTCAATTTGTTCACATCAGAACACTAATCAATTTCGAGTATTTTGTATGGAATTTTATATCTTTATATGAAATTTTTGTGCAGAGATATAACGTTTGAGGGTAATCTGTAACTCTTATCTCAAAGTATACTAAATTTTAAAACCACCAAAATGTTGCCTTTTTTTTAAAAATCATCATTTATCTGTTTTTTTTTATAAAGTTTATTAAGAACTTGAATATTTTGTATTTATTTACTGATATGAGAATTATGAAGTATAGTTTTTCATGAGTGTGTGTGAACATTACATTTTGGTATACATAGTTTTGAGAAATAATACTATAATACTTTGATAAATTCAATCATTTTCGAGAGCTTCTAAACAACCCTGAACACTGACCAAATATGTTGACAAACATCACCATGTGTAAAATTTTGTAGGTTATTATACGTTACTTTCTCTTATCATCCAGATGACGAAGGTGACGATGATGATGCTTTCATACACAATAGTGCTACTTTGCCAAAAGGCATCAAACAAGATCTTCGACTAGAGCTTCCAGTGGATGAAGATGATTATCTGATGCCTTCTCCTCGGCCATATGGCCATACAGGAGCATACATGGACTTGATTGGAGACACCAAAATAACAGGCAAGTTTTTTTTACTTGTTAATTTTAGAAACCAAGTGTCAGTTTAGAAAAGTTAGAGTTTCTGGTTTAATTGTTATATATTTACAACTCTTTAGAAACCAAGTGTCAGTATAGAAAAGTTAGAGTTTCTGGTTTAATTGTTATATATTTACAACTCTGACCCTACTTCGTGTTGGGAATTTCTGGTGATAATCTCCAAAAAAAAGTGGTTTTAGGAGTTTGACTTTGGGATAGCAAAGAATTTGATTAGGGGTTGGAGGTGGATCCTCCCAAAAAAATTACAGTCAAGCATTTGGTGGGTACAGCCTAGTGCATTTTAAAACTACATTTTACCAGTTCATTACATTAAAAATTATACTTTTATGAAAACCCATTTGCTGAGATATAATAACTTACATTTGAAGAAATAGAGAATATTAAACTTGTTTTTCTCAAAAAAAGGTAAACTTCTATTGATCAAGTTAACTTTTCAAGTTGATGCTGAGTATCATACACACCCTAGAGACGATGATTAAAATAAAACGTATTCGGCCTAACAGTTGTGCGATTTTCCTTTTGCCCATCCCATGTGCACCAGTGATAATATTAAAAATGTTCATCTTACTGTTTTATCTATATGAGAACAATCCACTTTTTATGCTTTCAACATCATCCAAGATATTAGAATAAATATAAACAGGAAGTAATATCAAATAATTCCTAACGTTTAAAGAAGCATGAAATATCACCACTATTTATTGTAAGATGTGTTTCTAATAACAGGCAAGTTTCCTAACTAACATCGTGCCATAAACAGGAAGTAATATCAAATAATTCCTAACGTTTAAAGAAGCATGAAATATCACCACTATTTATTGTAAGATGTGTTTCTAATAACAGGCAAGTTTCCTAACTAAGATCGTGCCAAGTGTAATTTGATTTTGTTGATGAAATAATACCACATGAAAATGTACATCGTAGCTGGTCAGTTTAAATAAGTAATTTGAATTCATTATTTTATATTTCACAGCCTTATGTTTTTAATTTGTTTATGGGGTGAACTTATTTCATAATTATTTTTTGTATTTTTCCAGATGCAGGAGCTATGAGGCCGCAAGATTACTCTCGTTATGTGCCAGACTTTGTGCCAGTGAATGGGCAGCCAAATGGGCTAGACAATCTTGAATATCATCTGATGAATCGTGACCACGATTATGTCAATACACAGCCACGTAAAAATACAAGCAGCGAGGAAGACAGTGATGATCACGAGTTCTTCAACGACTACGATCGACTGAGACGAGAGCTTCAGCCACTGAACACCAGAAGAAGTGAAACGACAGTTTGAGTTTGCTCGTTAGGCATTAAAACAAGCACAATTTACTTTCATCCATCCAAGTTCAAGCCAAAGTTTCAGTGCTTATATGTTACATGCCTGTTACTGGTTAGCCGTTTGAAAATTCTTTCAGAATATGGATCGAGTTACATCAGTTACAGGATTGGAAACTGAAAGGTGTAAAATCGCTAGTGTATTTCACGACAAGTGTCAAAAAATGGAATTCAAAAAGTAAATATAAAGAATGGATATCTGTATATAGATTTAATTTTTTGCACCCAGGTGTGCAAAGATAAAAATTCAAACTTTACATAAGGACTACCTGTTCTAATACTTACAATTTTGGTAGCCATTCTGATATTTATGCCTGAAAATTCATGTGCCTTGATGTTCTTTCCCGTTTTTTTTAATCTCAGTGTTCTATTTATGTTTAAGTTTAGAGCACACGTTTTGTTTTCTTTGCTTTAGAATAAATGTTTATTGTATAATTTTTTTTTAAAGAAGACTACACTACAAGCAGTTGTAAAGGTGTTAAAATGTGCAGATCAGGTATTTACTCAGTATTATCTGTAAAAATATATGGTTAAACGAGTGATTGGTTCTGTGCCATATATGTACAGAAATAGCACGCACGTAGAACAATGTTTGTTTTTCTTTACGTTTAGTCAAGTGTAGAAAAACAAGAGACAACGCTAAACATAACAAAAATTTAGAAATTCTACACATTCCACATCTGAAAGTAGAAATAAATTCATACAGTAAAAAAGTTCCATCAGCAAAGTTTTCCTTCTGGTGTAATTATTATTATTTTATGTACATATTGCTTCTCTAGTGTCTTTCTGATGCTGGGGGAGAAACCACTAAATGCTTACCGTGTTCTATTCTTGAGACAGAACTTGATAAAGAAAGTTCTTAAAAACCACATTCTGCAACTCGCATAGGAAGGTTTGCAAAGGATATTTTAATCGTGTAATTGTTTTTATTTTTATTAAATAACTAGAAAAATGCTTGATATTGTTACTAAAATATTTTAGTGTTCCAACACTGCTAAACTTTGGCCAAAGTTATCGTGTCAGTGACACCCAAGAACGTGCTGTTTAGTTTCCCGTTCGTAATCTTCTTTATAATCGTGACTTCACTAATAATTTTTGTAAGTGATGAATTGTGAAAAACAAAACATTCCAGTCATGCATAGGTAGTGAAATATCACGAGTTTTTGGACACATAATTATTGATCCCACCTAAGCTAATAATGCTTGTAATCATCAAAAGACAAAACTTGTTTTCTGCTTTTCACAATTTGATAATGAAGTTTTAATCAGATACAAAAATCCTTTTGTGAAATTTGTGTTACTAGAGTGAAATCATGTATATTGTGTTTTTACTCCTATTATACGCAAGTCAACATCAGTGTGCTCTTTTCCTTCAGGCATCATAGCATTTCCGTATTTCTGTTCGTGTTAGCTCAGTCATATAAAATTGCCATCTGGAATTGATTTCATTTTTTTCATTATCCAAATGTGCAACCATAACTGCCCATAAATTGAAAGACATTATTATAAAGTACATTCCTTTTCT